CCTAAATGGCTACTTCTCCCCGCACCCTACAGTATGTCCCCCTAAGTTGGAATCATATGGAAAACTTTGTTATTATTCATTTTAGAAAAAAAAGTTATTCTTCATAAAAAGTTCCGCATGATCCAAAACTTAAAAAACAATCATCATATATCAAATTGTTCAAGTCGTATACGAGGTTTGTCAAAAAATATGAATTTTGCTTAAGATTAAAGTACGTTTATTTTTGACAAAATCGAAAATTTTCATTAGGAAAATTGCTACTTAGGGGGACATACTGTATATAGAACCATTAGAACTTCGGGTACAATATATTATTGTACTTTGAGGTAAAATAAATTCATAATTCGGGTATTTTGAGCTATTTGTTGTATAGATAGCTTTATAGGAAAATCAGATATTTTATTTTATTAAATTTATTTAGAGTATCAAGGAAATCCTGTAGAATATTACAAATTAAAAAAAAGTACATTATAACCTTAGATTAAAGATTCAAAATAATCAATTGATTGAAAAAAATCGATTTTTTTTAAAAATCGATTTATCGTTTAATCGGTTTTTTTAATTATTCGATTACCTTCGATTTTTCAAAGATATATGAAAATAATCGATTGATCGAATTTAATCGGTTATTTTATATAACCAATATTTTGGTGATTTTTTTTTAAATTATCGATTTCTCGATTAATCAGCTCTTTAATAATCGATTATTTTCGATTTATCGATTATTTTTCGATAATCAAATAATCAATTTTGATAATAATCGATTGATCAAAAATAATCGATTATTTAAAATAATCGATAATTCTGTTTTTTTTTTAAATCGATGTATCAGTTAATCGATTTTTTAATTAATCAATTATTTTTTATTAATCGTTTATTTTCGATTTTTCAAAGATTATCGAATAATCTGTTTCAATGGATGAAAAAACATTGATTATTAAAAAATAATCGATAATTCGGTTATTTTTTGGAAAATCGATTGATCGTAGAATCGGCTTCTTAATTAATTGGTTATTTTCGATTAAGCGATTATTTTGGAATTATCGATTTTAAAGGAAATACAATAAAAATAGATTATTGATAATAATCGATTGATGGAAAATAATCGATTATTTAAAATATTTCATAATTATGTTTTTTTTTTTAAATCGATTTATCATTAATCGACTTTTTAATTAATCGATTATTTTTGATTTATCAATTATTTTCGATTTTTCAAAGATTATCAAATAATCTGTTTGAATGGACGAAAAAACATGGATTATTAAAAAATAATTGATAATTCGGTTATTTTTTGGAAAATCGATTTATGGTAGAATCGGCTTCCTTATTGTTTATTTTCGATTAGGCGATTATTTTGGAATTATCGATTATTTTCGGTATTTCAAAGATAATCGAATTATCGATTTTAAAGAAAATGCAATAAAAATAGATTATTGATAATAATCGATTGATGGAAAATAATCGATTATTTAAAATATTCGATAATTCTGTTTTTTTTTTTAATTGATGTATCAGTTAATCGACTTTTTAATTAATCGATTATTTTTGATCAATCGATTATTTTCGATTTTTCAAAGATTATCGAATAATCTGTTTCAATGGACGAAAAAACATGGATTATTAGAAAATAATCGATAATTCGGTTATTTTTTGGAAAATCGATTGATCGTAGAATCGGCTTCTTAATTAATTGGTTATTTTCGATTAAGCGATTATTTTGGAATTATCGATTTTAAAGGAAATACAATAAAAATAGATTATTGATAATAATTGATTGATGGAAAATAATCGATTATTTAAAATATTTCATAATTATGTTTTTTTTTTTAAAATCGATTTATCATTAATCGACTTTTTAATTAATCGATTATTTTTGATTTATCAATTATTTTCGATTTTTCAAAGATTATCAAATAATCTGTTTGAATGGACGAAAAAACATGGATTATTAAAAAATAATTGATAATTCGGTTATTTTTTGGAAAATCGATTTATGGTAGAATCGGCTTCCTTATTGTTTATTTTCGATTAGGCGATTATTTTGGAATTATCGATTATTTTCGGTATTTCAAAGATAATCGAATTATCGATTTTAAAGAAAATGCAATAAAAATAGATTATTGATAATAATCGATTGATGGAAAATAATCGATTATTTAAAATATTCGATAATTCTGTTTTTTTTTTTAATTGATGTATCAGTTAATCGACTTTTTAATTAATCGATTATTTTTGATCAATCGATTATTTTCGATTTTTCAAAGATTATCGAATAATCTGTTTCAATGGACGAAAAAACATGGATTATTAGAAAATAATCGATAATTCGGTTATTTTTTGGAAAATCGATTGATCGTAGAATCGGCTTCTTAATTAATTGGTTATTTTCGATTAAGCGATTATTTTGGAATTATCGATTTTAAAGGAAATACAATAAAAATAGATTATTGATAATAATCGATTGATGGAAAATAATCGATTATTTAAAATATTTCATAATTATGTTTTTTTTTTAAAATCGATTTATCATTAATCGACTTTTTAATTAATCGATTATTTTTGATTTATCAATTATTTTCGATTTTTCAAAGATTATCAAATAATCTGTTTGAATGGACGAAAAAACATGGATTATTAAAAAATAATTGATAATTCGGTTATTTTTTGGAAAATCGATTTATGGTAGAATCGGCTTCCTTATTGTTTATTTTCGATTAGGCGATTATTTTGGAATTATCGATTATTTTCGGTATTTCAAAGATAATCGAATTATCGATTTTAAAGAAAATGCAATAAAAATAGATTATTGATAATAATCGATTGATGGAAAATAATCGATTATTTAAAATATTCGATAATTCTGTTTTTTTTTTTAATTGATGTATCAGTTAATCGACTTTTTAATTAATCGATTATTTTTGATCAATCGATTATTTTCGATTTTTCAAAGATTATCGAATAATCTGTTTCAATGGACGAAAAAACATGGATTATTAGAAAATAATCGATAATTCGGTTATTTTTTGGAAAATCGATTGATCGTAGAATCGGCTTCTTAATTAATTGGTTATTTTCGATTAAGCGATTATTTTGGAATTATCGATTTTAAAGGAAATACAATAAAAATAGATTATTGATAATAATCGATTGATGGAAAATAATCGATTATTTAAAATATTTCATAATTATGTTTTTTTTTTAAAATCGATTTATCATTAATCGACTTTTTAATTAATCGATTATTTTTGATTTATCAATTATTTTCGATTTTTCAAAGATTATCAAATAATCTGTTTGAATGGACGAAAAAACATGGATTATTAAAAAATAATTGATAATTCGGTTATTTTTTGGAAAATCGATTTATGGTAGAATCGGCTTCCTTATTGTTTATTTTCGATTAGGCGATTATTTTGGAATTATCGATTATTTTCGGTATTTCAAAGATAATCGAATTATCGATTTTAAAGAAAATGCAATAAAAATAGATTATTGATAATAATCGATTGATGGAAAATAATCGATTATTTAAAATATTCGATAATTCTGTTTTTTTTTTAATTGATGTATCAGTTAATCGACTTTTTAATTAATCGATTATTTTTGATCAATCGATTATTTTCGATTTTTCAAAGATTATCGAATAATCTGTTTCAATGGACGAAAAAACATGGATTATTAGAAAATAATCGATAATTCGGTTATTTTTTGGAAAATCGATTTATCGTAGAATCGGCTTCTTAATTAATTGGTTATTTTCGATTAGGCGATTATTTTGGAATATTCGATTATTTTCGGTATTTCAAAGATAATCGAATTATCGATTTTAAAGGAAATACAATAAAAATAGATTATTGATAATAAAATCGATTAATGGAAAATAATCGATTATTTAAAATATTCGATAATTGTTTTTTTTTAAATTGATGTATTATTTTTGATTTTTCACAGATTATCGAATAATTTGTTTTAATGGACGAAAAAACATGGATTATTAGAAAATAATCGATAATTCGTTTTTTTTTTGGAAAATCGATTTATTGTAGAATCGGCTTCTTAATTAATTGGTTATTTTCGATTAGGCAATTATTTTTGGAATATTCGATTATTTTCGGTATTTAAAAGATAATCGAATTATCGATTTTAAAGGAAATACAATAAAAATAGATTATTGATAATAATCGATTGATCGAAAATAATCGATAATTCTTTTTTTTTAAATCGATGTATCAGTTAATCGATTATTTTCGATTTTTCAAAGATTATCGGATAATCTGTTTCAATGGACGAAAAAAAAAGGTTTATTTGAATATAATCGAATATTTAAAATAAACGATAATTCTTTTATTATTTTTTGTAAACACCAATTTAATGGTTAATTGGCTTTTTAATTAATCGATTATTTTTGATTTTTCAAAGATAATCAAGTACCTAGTCGATTTTAAAGGAAATACGACAAAAAATATATTTTTTGAAAATGAATTTTAATAGATTTAAATTTTAAAATGTTATCTTGTTTCTGACATATGCATTTCTAGAGTTTTTTGTGACTCATCCTCTATAATAATTAATATTTCTAAAGAAAGAAGCCTTAATATACCTTTTTCTGAGGTTACAATACAAAACGGATTTTTCTCATTTTGACTAATTTTTAATATTATGTAATAGCCGTAGAAAAAATATAATGTTAGATTTTTTTAGGTTAGATTTGCAGTAATCGCCTGCGCACATGCTTTTTTTATAATACTCGTAGACAATGAGTACCATAAATAAATCTAATAGTTCATTATGATGCTAATAAACAAAGTCCGGTCCCTGTCACAGAGTTCGGGTCGCCGCCCAGTTCCCCCACTCCGTTAACCTTTCTTTAGAAATTGGTAACATTTGCGCAGGTTAAACATCGGTGTATGTTATATCTCTGGTCTTTTTTATCTAAGGTTATAACTAAATCTTAATAAGCCACTAAAAGTATACAAATAAGAAATTTGTTTTGTTACCTCTGCTCCCAAATCCACTAAAGTCTCAATCAAAACAGCAGTTTGTACGGTCATATGCAGACATCCGACAATTTTGGCTCCTTTCAAAATTTTGTTCGTTTGATACTTTTTGCGTAAACTCATTAAACCGGGCATTTCATTTTCAGCCAAAGTAATTTCTTTGCGTCCAAAGTCAGCCAAGTTTATATCAGCTGAAAATTAGTAATCTAAGTACATGTTATAAGAAGTTTGTCCACCATATTATCGGAATGGTATACTGTTTTTGTTTTAATTATATGATTTTATTTGAGGATTGCAATATATCAAGCAACAGTGCAATAATAAACAGAATTGAAACTCTAAAAAGTTATATAGAGTGTGCCAATTATCTCTCTGAGGAATGTAGCTTTGAAGTTAAATAATATGTCGAAATAAAACTAAAATCATTCTATTAGATTCTAAAATCTCTATAATCATAAAATTGTTTAATTTGTTCAACTAACAAAAATGTTATTAACATTTTTAAATAAAATAATTTAGAAATTAACATCTCTATTTTAAATGTTTAAAAGAAACTTTTTTTATTGATCACTCTATTCCATTCCACTTATTTTATTCTAGGGCCCTACTTTATTTTATTAATAGTAAAATTTTGGTGTTAATTATATCTAAAATATTTAAGAAATGAACTGGTACCTATTTTTTAATTTGTCATGCATTAAATATTACAAAAAAAAAATTAATTAATATATTTTTAAGCAATTTTACTTTTGCGTACTTTTAAAAACCGGTGTGAAGTTAGCAGCCACTTTCCAGCAGCCCGTTTACCGGAAACACCCGAATTACCAGTGGCGTCGAAATGTATTTTTCTGTGAAGTAACCAGTGTATTGAAATAAAATTACTACTAAATTTTTAAGAAATAAAGTGTTTAAAGAGAGAATTAAGGGGTAAACTAAAATAAAAATTATTTTTTTCTATAAAAATAATAAAATATTGAAATCAAAATAGTGTCAAATTGTTAAAAACTATAAAATACAACCTAAAAAAAATAAAATCACTCAGGAAGGGAATGAGGGGGTCAAATTAAATAAAATTCCATTAAAAATCTATTTAAAAATTAATTTGCCAGAATGGCCTTAGCGTGTATCTTTATTGCTATTGGTCCGATTCAAACGGGAAAAACGGCATTATGTAGAGAACTCGAAAACGTTGAAGAGAAAAACATGCGCAAAACGAAAAGCCATGGATTTATTTGATTTTCTACGAATATCCGACTGTCTGTCTCCTTTTCAACGTTTCGCTCTTCCTCTTCAGTTTCAACAGTGGTTTCGTCTTCTTCATCATCTTCCTATCATTTTTAAAGCTGCAATGCACTGTCTACTTGCTCATCGATGTAATGCCAATTGAATTTGTACGATTTTCTATGACTTCGTCTGACCATATGTTTGCCTCTTCCTTCCATTTGTATATCTTTCCGTCTCTCTCTCTCTGTCTTTGTTAATATCTAACTCCTGGTGACATGACGCTGAGCTGTATGTATACATTTTAATAAAACACTTAATGTATATTCCCTTTTTAAAGTTAGTCCATAGCAATAAATAATCGTCGAATAAATATTATTCGATTATTTTGCAAATCTGTATGTAAACGTTTTCGATACCTTCGATACTGCCCCTTTGGTAGAAACGAAACGTCAAAATAAACGTCAGACGAAACTTCAAACGAAAACGTTAAAAGAAACGTCAAACAGAACATCAAAAGAAACGTCAAACGAAAAGGTTAAACAAAAACGTCAAACGAAAATGTCAAAACTAAAACGTTAAACGAAAACGTCGATTTTTCTCTTCAACTTTCATCTATACCACGTTTCCTACATAATTCCGTTTTTCCCGTTTGAATCGTACCAGTAGCAATAAAGATACACGCTAAGGCCCTTTTGACCTATCACTGTGCATGTTTTTTCTGTTCCACGTTCTCTAGATAATGCCGTTTTCCCCGTATCTTATAATTTTTAACAATTTGGCACTAACTTATTTCAATCCTGGATTGTCTTCTTAGGCAAATTAATTTTTAAATAGATTTTTAACAAAATTTTATTTAATTTGACCCCCTCATCCCCTTCCTAAGTGATTTAGTTAATTTTTTAGGTTGTATTTTATAGTTTTTAACAATTTGGCAACATTATTTCAATACTAGATTGTATTCTTAGGAAAATAAATTTTTAAATAGATTTTTAATAGAATTTTATTTAATTTGACCCCCTCATTCCCTTCCTAAGTGATTTAGTTAATTTTTTTAGGTTGTATTTTATAGTTTTTAACAATTTGGCAACTTTATTTCAATACTAGATTGTCTTCTTAGGCAAATTAATTTTTAAATAGATGTTTAATAGAATTTTATTTAATTTGACCCCCTCATCCCCTTCCTAAATGATTTTGTTAATTTTTTTAGGTTGTATTTTATAGATTTTAACAATTTGTCACTAACTTTATTTCAATACTGGATTGTCTTCTTAGACAAATTAATTTTTAAATAGATTTTTAATGGAATTTTATTTAATTTGACCCCCTCATCCCCTTCCTAAGTGATTTTGTTAATTTTTTAGGTTGTATTTTATAATTTTTAACAATTTGGTACTAACTTTATTTCAATATCGGATTGTCTTCTTAGGAAAATAAATTTTTAAATGGATTTTTAATAGAATTTTATTTAATTTGACTTAGGAAGGGGATGATCCTAAGTGATTTAGTTAATTTTTTTAGGTTGTATTTTATAGTTTTTAACAATTTCACACTATTTTTATTGGATTTTTTTCAGTTTACCCCTTAATCCTCTCTCTTAAACACTTTTTATTTGTTTCTTAAAAATTAGTAGTAATTTTATTTCAATACACTGGTTACTTCAAGAAAAATACATTTCGACGCCACTGGTAATTCGGGTGTTTCTGGTAAACGGGCTGCTGGAAAGTGGCTGCTAACTTCACCATGGGTCTTTTAAAATGAATTGAAAAACGTTTATACGAATATTTAATAATAGAAGTCTTTAAATCCTAACAAATTCCATACAGTATAGAGAGATTTAAATGAAAATAGAAAAAAAAAAAAAATAAAAAGAAAAAAAAAAGAAAAAAAAAAGAAAAACAATGGATGTAGGAAAAATGCTGAAGATCAGTTGGTAAATTAGTTACCCTTAGCTTGTCATCTTAAGAGGAAACTGGACCTCTTGCGAAAGGAAATATATAAAATTGTATTTATATGCATGCCATTGGGAATACTTCATGATATTATATGTCTTGACAATATTAAGAGCTTTAAATTTGTGCAACGGTAAGGCAGCACTCTACAGAGACGTTTAAGAAAAAACGGTGGGAAAGTATTCCAATTTTATAAATTTATTACAGAATAGCACAGAAATGTTTTTTTTTTTATTTCTTTTAAACATTTTCATAGGTTTACAATAAATTCAAGGTTTCTCCACCCTATGTTTTGTTATCGGCTGTATTTCCTGAAAAATTCACAAAAATAGGACTAAAAATAAAGGCTTAGAATGAATTATACATTTTCAAGGTGTTCAGTTAAGTGGGAGAGCTCATAAATTTCTTTAAAACATTTATTCTTAAGCATATTTTAATATAACATTCCTCAAAACGCGTTGTTAACTTATTTCAGCAATAACCAACACACATATACCATGAAATAAAAGTGAAAAATAATTATTAATACCTATATTACAAATAATTGGAACTCAATTATTTATATTTCTTCAAACTTATGAATCAATTAAAAAATAAGTACCTAATTATTTTAGTAAACTAAATGTTGTACATAAATCTTTCAAATAATTAAATACACTTCTTTATCTTTATTTGGAAACCGAATAATTAAAAAATAGGTATTTAAAAACTTAAAAGTGACATTTCTTATAACCTAAAATTATAATACACGTGCACTTTACTTACCAACTTTAAATGGTGGTTTGCCGTTAGCCATTTTACTATGATTTTATTTTTTTTTAATTAGCTTTAAATAATTCTACACACACTAAAAATAAAATGCTTTAACCAAACGACCAACTTCAAACAACGTTCAGATAAAAAAGAAAAGACCGCTAGTTGCCGCTAGTGGCGCTAGTTGTTGGTGCGCCGGTGAATAATGTGTGGCATAGAGATGGGCGATGTATCGATATCGATACCGGTTACTTTACCTTTCATCAGTTACTAGATTCGTTCTTATTAGTTAATGGTAACTCTGTAGCTAAGGATCTTTTATTATTGGGCAAAGAGGAGTTGTTTGCATCAAAGATTTATTTTTAATGGTTATTTAAAATAAATCATTAATTAATAATCATGCAAAATGCTTTTTTGTTTTCAATTAAACTTGAACATATGACTACAAAATTCAAAATTAACATTTGAACACAATTTTTCTGGTTCCTGTCATAGCGGTGAACATATTAACAAATACTTAAGAGAATAGAGAAATGAATGGGCGGCGCTGTCCACGAAGAATGCAAAGCTGATTTTTATTACAATTACTGGTTACCTCTAACATGTTATGTTATGTTGGGAATGGGGTGTTAATACACTGCGACCTAAAAGATCTTTTGTGCCCCCTTCTGTCGCCAATTCATTTAGGAAATGTCTCAATGCTTATAACGATCCTTCCAATCTTATTTTTTCAAAGAAGTGTAGGATTTGAAGTGGTTTCAAGTTAGGTAAATCTCCCTCTTCTATTTGATATCCTCCTAGATATAGTGCCCTTGGATTCTGGAGTGCTACACATTCAGTTAGGATATGAATGGAGGTTTCGTCTTCCTCCTCACAGAATCTGCACTCACTAACCTCTACTACTCTCAGTTTACTTAGGTGTCCTTTTAGGGTGAGATTACAGAACGTCTGCAACTTTGCAGATCTGCAAATATGGCGAACTTACAAATGCAAGTATTCCAAAAAATATATGCAAATTCGCAATATTTATTGTGGTTTATTACCCCTAACAACACTAAACCCAAATTTGGAATACGAAAACTTGATACTTGCATGTGTAAGTCAATCATATTTGCATATTTTCAAAGTTGCCGCCATATTTGCAGATCTGCAAAGTTGCAGACGTTCTGTAATCTCACCCTTAGTCGGCCTATACCCCGTTATGTCCCGGGACCCAAGTGAGAGTAACTTTATTTTTCTCGCCTAGCTCTTTCAATTGTTCTAGGCATCTCCAGCTCATTTCGAAGTGCTTGGTTCTCGGCATATATACTCCTATTCCAGTTCCTTCTATGGTTTTGGAACCGTACGTATACCATTGAATAGCGCGTCTTTCAGTTGCAAGCGCGATGAATTCTTGACTCTATTCTTTCTTGCAGTCCATCTCTGTGATTTTGAAATTTTTCACAAAACTGTACTTACTTCTTTAGCATTTCATCCTGGGGCATGTGCCAAGTATGTTTAGTCCTGAAGCAAGTAGACTTTCGACTGATTATTCCTGATCAGTCTATATCGTGTCCTTTTTACCACATTCTCTATCATCAAAGGAAGAGGGGTGAAGTTTAAAATCACCTCCATTGCGGCCGTAGGACAAGTTCTCATTGCACCAGTAATGCAAACACAGGCTAGTCTTTATACTTTTGAGATATTAGCTCTCGTAGTAGTTAAACTAGTTATGTTACTCCCGTAAGTAATGATTGGTTTCACTATTGCAGTATACATCCATCGGAGTATGTTTGGGTTACATCCCCATCGTTTACCTGCAATATTTCTGCATACCATTAGGGCTTTTGTGACCTTATTTACTACTTCCTTCTCATGTGTGTTCCAGAGAAGTTGTTGTCTGAGGTTAGGCCTAGATATTTGACTTTATTTTTCCATTCTATATCTATCCCTTCTAATTTAACGGTTTTGAGATTAAGTTTTCTTTTCCTTGAAAAGGCTACTAGTATTGTTTTTGTAGGGTTTATACTAAGTCCCACTTCACGGCACCATCTTTTGGTATGTTCTAGTACTCGTTGGACTATATCACACAGGATGTTACTAAACTTTTGCCACTAGCAAATATGACTATGTCGTCGGCATAACCTTGACAGGGTATGCAGAGGTCAGTCAATCTGCAAAAGAATTACCGTTTCTTTAAAATCAGTCACTGGTATAGGTCGGTGAATCGAAACTCACTGATAAGCTCATTTCCAACTGATGGCCATGGCAGGAAAACAGGGAAATTCAAACTCCAAACTATACTCGTTTCATTTAGATACCGCTGCTCTATCTCATAAAAAAATGTATTGTTGTTTATATAAGATTTCTTTTGTTAAGGACCGATTTCTCCGTTGTGTTAAACGAAGTTTAAAATGACATTTTTACATTAACAATGTCATTTTAATCTTCGTTTAACACAACAGTGGAATCGGCCCTCAAAATTCAATGTCACGTTAAAGTTATTTTGGAACTTCTTCCTTTGAAAAGCCGATCTCTAATTTTATCAATTTGAATTTGTCAAGGTGACATTTGTCAAAGTCAAAAACAGATGCTTATGATTACTACATGAAGGTTAGGTTATGTTTTTTATTGTTATTTTGAAATGTGGAAATAATTTTTACAAGAACATAAAAAGAAAAGGATTTAAATAAAAACAGAAAAATATTCAAATGTATTATGAGTTTTATTATTAATGCTTTAAAAAATATTTTACACAGAATGTTACAATTATTGTCATTTGGTAAGAAGACTATAACAAACTCTCTTAGTATTTATGTAAAACATATTGGAGGTAACACACTGACCGTCGAATTAGATCCTTCCTGGGATATTAAAAACGTTAAAGAAATAGTTGCTCCAAAACTCGGATTGGAGCCGAATGAGGTTAAGATTATTTTTGCAGGAAAAGAATTAGGTGATGAGATCAAAATCGAGGTATGAATCTTTTAATTATATTATTTGTATATCTATTACATTTTATTTTGAGATTGTAGGAGTGCGATTTGGGACAAAAAAGTATCCTTCATGCTGTGAAAATCAGAAAAACGCTTTCTAAACTTCCTCAACCAAATAGTAGTTCTTTTATTGAGGAAAATGAGGAACACAGTAATAAACCATTAAGTGAAATCTTAGATGATTCCATGTTTTCTCATGAAGATAGTACCTCTAGCAGTGCAGGTTTAGAAAGTGAAACTTCACAATCAGGTATTTGTTATTCTTAAAATTAACAAATATAAGAAAAGTTCCATTGTTTTTAATTTATTATAAATAATATTTGGGACAGTATATAATAGATATTATGGTTACTATTCATTTTTAAGATATAGATTTTGTGATATTTGTAATATTCATTATGTATGTTATTTTATTTTTCTTCTATTTTCTTCATTAAATGGGAATCTCATTAAAGTTTACAAAATGATAAACTAACATTAAATAAAGCTAATATAATCAAACTTAGAAGGGTCACTGTTTTGTAGGCAGAAGGACTTCGGTCGATAGCCTATTGGACTGAATTTTCAGTTTAATAAATGACATTATTATTATTCTTATTATTATTCACTGTTTTGTATCGATATATGCAGTCAAACCAGGCTGAACACTATTAGTATTTGGATGGGTGATTATATCAATGAAAGTCTGCAAAGGCAGAAATAAATCAAACTTATTACAGTAATATTATCTAGAGAATAGAATAACACTTTTCAAAGATACTATAAACCATTAGGGATTACAAGTTAAAATAATGGATTGAACTCGTTTGAAATCAACAGAGAATAACATGCAAGTTAATATTTATGTCCTACTATGTGATACTTAATTACATGTATAATTAATAGCATTCAAAAGGGATATCAAATTGATTTTATCTAATAAAGAAGAACATGTCATTTAGCAGTTTTTAAAGAAAGGTCATCAATTTAAAATGTTGTATATAGGTAACTGTCATAACTGTATTACCATTGTATAAGTAATCCTAGTAGGTCAGTGCATTTATTTGTTTGATACCAAAAGGAGACCACCACCAGGTGGCCAGTCAAATTGAGTCTCTTTAAGCTAGAGATGGCTGGAGCTTTTGCTAGTTTAAAATAGATGGCAGAATAAACTTAATGAAAGTTGCCATTTTTATTCCACTCTGTATTGTTTTCATTGGATTTAAAAATATGTCAAAGTAAAGAAAAAATATTTTCATAATATTGTTAAGAGTTATTGCTGCGCTGACAACTGACAATAGCAAGAAATTTGTATAAATTTGGTTTAATCCTAGAAGACACAATTTTAAAGATAATACCATATTTTTTTATGTGCAAAGAGAATAAGTGGCACTAGTCCCATATTAGTATACTTTTTTAAAAAAATGGCCCGTTTCATCAAAAAAATTGTCTTCCTCGTCTATCTAGTATTGAAAATTGGACAGATACGGAATAAGGGGTACATATAGGATAGATCTGAAATTTAGTATTGCTTGATGATGCAAAGTAGGAATATTTATTACATGACATAATTTTGTTTTTAATATAGAATTTGCAATAGTTTAGTATATTTAAAAAAGTGTTTGATTAGAAAAAGTTAGGTTAAAGCAATATATTTATACATATAATCATTGCGTTCGGTTTGCCACGTTCATTTAACTCCTTTAACACTTTTAACTCCAAACGACTCTTTTAGCGTTCGGTTTAGTCCGATTAGTGACAGTTTAACACGCTTAAATGTCATTTAAAAGCACCCTAAAATTTGTCCCGCTCCAGCCCCTGACTGACCGAACTCGCCTATAGGGTATATATTTTCTAAAATAATTTATTTTGCAAAGAATATCAATTAAGCTACTAAAATAATAAAATCTATAAATGAGTATTTTAAATAATGTATTTAACAAATGTTTCACAATATATTAATTTACATGTTTACAAGAATATTCCACTAAAATAAAACACAGAACAACACTTTTAAAAACATACACAAACAGCGTTGCCAAATGTTCAGTTAAAATATAGTATTTAATGGTTAAACCGATGTATCCTAGTGAACAAAATCTAAAAACATCTATTTTAAACACTGATTCAATGCAGAAAAAAATTAAATGAGAAATTGTATGAATATGATTCAGATTCTTGGATCAACTATTAAATATTAAGCTCCAC